AGCTCGCAGAATGACAGTTTGCAGGAGACAGACATTTAACGAAGGCCAATTTGCTCAGCTTATCTTGCAGCAAAGGAAACCATTTGATAAAAAAAGCATTAGTCACGATATAAACTCATTGCTCTTCATAACTAGGCAAATAAGTCGTCCTAATAGCCTTAAATATGCAGCATCTCGGCTCGGGGCCTAAATATCACCAGTTAGTCACTCATTAATGGCTACCTGCAAGACCTACGCTCAGAATTACCCTGACGACCACGCTGCCATTTCCCCAGGGCTGCAGGTTGGGATTTGCAGAAAAGCACTGCTCTGGAGAGCCCAGAAAAACAAGAAGGGAGCAGGAGGCTGGGGTCCAGGGCACCATCGGCATCACAGGAATGCTGCCCCAGAGCTGCCGTGCTTCCACAAGGCTGTGGGGGTCACTGCAGCCTCTTGGCAGAGCACGGGGTGATGGAGCTGCTGGCCGAGGCAATCCGTTACGTGCAGACACTGCAGGAGATAAGCTGGGCAGAGATAAGAGCCGCTAAGTGAGCGCAGGATCCAGTGCTGATAAACAAAGGCCAGACACCGGAGGGCTGCCTGCAGAAGCAGCGGGGTCTATCTGATCATCTTGTCTTTCCAATCAGGCTGTTCTGTGCGAGGACATCGAGTACCTGCAACCTGAAACCCATTCCCCATTGCGGCCAAACTAGTTGGGACTGGTGGAGGGGAAAAAAATAAATAAACGTAGCCCAGGGAACAACTTTGACCTGATGAGATTGAAGTAAATAAACGAGATTTCCTCGTTCGTTGCAACAGTTGACAGAAAGAGCAAACGCAGCACCCCGTGCTGGCACGAAGCCTCTGCAGAGGGGACCGAAACCGCCGGCTCCTTTGTGGCAGAGCGGCACCTCCAGTTCACAGGAGCAGAGATTAGCAGCAGCACTCCGGGTCCAAAGCTCAAAGCCCTTTTTGTCTGTGCCCTCCAGCTGGGCGGTGCGAGGAAGGTCTGCGCTCCCCTCCTCTCTCTCTCCGAGGTTTCCAGAACTGGGCACTCAGCAAAGCTGGCAGCTGCTTGGCACACGCAGAGAGTAGATTCTCTTTAAGAGGGCAGGAGAGAAACTTGGCCAACGGCTCACCCTCCCAATCCCACAGCCACAGATCTCATTACATGACAACACCCAGCACTGCATGCGTGGTGTTAACGACCCCGGGCAGCCACAATGAGGCCCGCTAACAGGAAATGAACTGGACCTCAGCTAGAACTGACTGTGCACTGATTTCTCAGCCAGTGCAAATCAGAGAGCGTTGGGAAGAGCAAACAAAGACTTGGCCTGAAACTTCTGAAACACAGCAATTAACGCAAAGGAAGCCAAATTTACAAAAGCACAACTTAAGAGGGGAAAGACTCCACACCTTTGTTTTTCCCAACTTACATTCAATTCGATTATCCACAACAAAGAGATGAAGAGCAGATCGAAGGTGACAAAGAGACAGAAGGTCCTCCTCACATCTGAGATGGCTTTCCTCTTCTCTGGAGAGAAGTAGCAGTATGGGGAGAAGCCCTGGCTCTGGGAAAGCGAGGTGCTGATGGATGCAATGGCTGGGAGGCTCCGTTCCAGGTCGTGCTGCAGGTCTGTCGGCTTGCTCATCCTTGGCCCAAGTAACTTGGGGCCTACGTCAGTCAGGGCCACATCTGCAGAGCCACAACATCACCTATGGAGAGACAACACGGGAAGCCTGGGGGAGAAATGCCACAGCCTTACGCCCGGGGGTGTCACCCTCCTGTTCTCAGCAGTGCTGTCAGCGGCAGGCAGGCAAGCACAGAAAGGAAACGTGCACATGATACCTTTCCTCCAGGCACACAATCCTGTTACCAGCTCAGCTGGATGCTGTCTGTTTTACACCGTTCCTACTGGAAAAGGCTAACACCATGGCACGGTTTCACAGTTTTCCACTGCTATCCCACATCATGTCACAGAAACCAGGCTGAACCATGACAGGCTGCCTTTTAGGTTAGCATAAAGCACAAGAGAGCTCACTCAGGGCTTGCACCCTGCCCCTTGCACCAGCACAGGGACCCCCACCCCTTCTGCCCGCTGCAGGGAGACAGAAGCTGGCCACCAACAGCCCCACGGCTCAGCTTTATGGCAGGGATCAGCCACCATTGGCGCTGGTCCTGGCAGTGCTGGGTGCACAGCCACCACGTGAGCGGGCCGGGGTGCCGAGGCTGACGCCTGTTTTCAGGCAGCCGTGCCAGCCATTGTGTGAAAACGTTTCCCTTCCGTCAGCAGTGCACAAGGAGGCTGCTGTGCTAACAAAGCATGCAGCTGAGCACACGCCTGAGACAAACAGGGAGAAAGGTGCCAAAGCAGGGGGCTGCTGTCCCCAGATTTTCACCCCACTGTGATCCACAGCTACTGCACCAGGACAAACTCATTCTCTCCAAAATACTCATGTTCAAAGATTTTCCCTCTCCAAACAACTGCATTTGTTACTGGATTAGCTGCTGCCCCAGCAGCTCTGCTTCCTCTAGAACCCGAGTCAGACCTGTTTTATTACAGCAAGTCTCACTCAAAAACAGGAGACTGCAGTCAGAGCTGCCCGAGGGAAAAAGCCCCAGGACTGTGCCCAGAACCACAGGAAGAGTCAGCCACCACATGCTGGGACAATAGCAGGAGCTGCCCCACACTGCTGCAACCACAACCTCGGGTCTGTGTGCAAGCAGCTTCTGAGCTGCAGCCCTTGGGGAGGGAAAGAAGGAAGGAGGGAGGGAGCTGGGGCTGTCAGGTCCCCACCAGCAGCTCCCTGCGGCCCTGCAGAAGGAGCCGAGGATGTGTCACTTCAGATCAACTACAGCCAGTGCGGCCCTTTGCTGCCACGAGCGAGGGGCCCATCTCAAACTGAGAAAAGTTCCAGACATCTGTGAGTGCTAAATAATAGATCGCCTGATGCGCGGGGCTGCCGCCTTCTCTGTGGCAGAGTGTCACCACTCTCCACTCAAACAGCACTTTGCACTTAGGCAGCCCCGGCAACTTCAGAGCGCTTTAGGCTCACCCTGTGAGATGCTCAGCCCTGCTCCCCACGGTGACAGGGACATCCCTGGCTCTCGTTGGCCTAAAGCCATTGATTATTCAGCCCCAGCTTTCCAGGTGAGAGCTGACGCCTGTCCTGAAGCCACAGCACAGAGATCTGGGGAGGAAGCGGTGAGAAGGGCTTTACCTTCAGAGTAAAACAGAGGCACTGTGGCACAGAAACACTGAAAATGTCAGAATATTTTCTGCTCGGATGGGGTTGTTCCACCACAGAGCAGAAAGGACAGAGAGCAGAGGCTGCTCTGAGCATGTCTAAATGTGCCTCTTCCCAGGTGCCAGATGAATTACTGAGCGTTCAGTGCCACAATGCACACCAGCAACACTGCACTAGGGACCTGCTGGGGTTCCAAAAGCTCTGGAGACACAGTCATGTTCCTTTCCTGGAGAAAAAGCCAAAAGCAACATGGGACCTCTCCCTGGAAAGGCTGCAGCAGCCCCCTCACAGCCCGCAGCCTCTCCCTCTTCTACTCCTGCCTTTTAGATTCAAATCACAAGCTTCTCATTAGCACACGTTTGCATGCTAATGACATGTCTTACAGCAAGAAGCCTTTCCATCTTGTGACACCGTTTCTCCTTTCCTCCCGCGCCCCCAACTTCCTATTAATGTGCCTTCTCAGCTCACATGACGACTTCAACAGCTAATTCTCATGTCACCTCTTTTGATAGTGACAGCCTTTGCACCAAACACTGCACTGAAGATGAGATACCTGGAAAGTGCAGGAGGGCTGCTTTAAAGCCACCAGCTGCAGATGTTTCACTGCTGCTGACATGTGTCTGAGCTTCCTAAGGGAAGAGATACACTGACAAGTGCCCTTCTGTGAGCTGCCCACACTCCCTATGCTGTCCCTCACCTGGTCAGCCCCACACCATCCTCTGCAGCTCCAGCCCAGCTGCTCTGTTTGTGAACAGGGCTCTCAAAGCATCATAAGACCTCACAGAGCCTGCATTCCCCTGCCAGCTGCACCAGCCTCAGGGCCTCCCCTCCTCTGCACATGCAAGCTCAGTGCAGCCTGCATAAGGAATATCTGGGAGGGCTCCCAAGAGCAGCTCAAGATCCCACCCCAAGCTGGCAGCTCCCAGCTTTCCTCATGCAGAGCCTGGGTGCCGGCGTGATCGCTGTGCAATGAGCCTCTGGTTTCAGTAAGGCCCATCAGTGGCTCAGGATCACAATGCAGAAATGAGAAAGCCCGCAGGTTTCGCACAAAGAGCAGAAAGAAAACTTCTCCTTGTGTCCAGTGAGTGACCTCAGAAGCTGCTGGGTGGCAGTGTGTGATGAGAAGCAGCCCAGGCCCCACAGGACACAGCGCCGGGCAGCTACCGGTACCACAGCTGCTTCCTGAGGGGCAGCATGGGCAGATCGCGGCCCCGCAGCCCCGAGCTCACAAATCACCGCTTTGTGAGCAGAGCTCCCCCATCCCGGCCCGGGGAGATAGGAGCTGAGCTCCCACCGCACCGCCACGGCCAGCCCGCAGCCGGTACCGGGGCCTGGGGCGGCCTCGGGATGTCGGTGAAGGCCTCGGGGGGTCTGGCAGCAAAACGCCGAGGGGCAGCGGCACCCACCGGGACGGGCCCGCTGCTGCCTCGGGAGGCGGCGCTGCGCAGCACCGCGGAGGCACGGCACGGCACGGCACGGCACGGCACGGCGGCCCCGGAGACCCAGGAACCGGAGCCCCGCGGCCGGCCCGCAGCGAAGGCCCCGGCGTTCTGCTCCGGCCCCGAACCCGCTCCCAGGGCGGCTCCGCTCCGCCGAGCTCCGGTGCCAACCTCGCCCCGGACCGCCCGGTACCTGCCGATAGCCGATAGCCGCCGCCGCCGCTTCCAGGCCCCGCCGGAAGTGCTCCCCCAGCGCGAGCCACTTCCGGCCCCGCCACCACCTCTGACCCCGGAAGTAAAACTCCGAGCTGCGCCGGCGCCGATCATGGCGGACTGCGGGGGCGTGGGGAGCGGAGCGGAGCCGGGAGGAGAACGGCGCCGGGGAGCGCTCCGCGGGGCTGAGCGGTTCCATCGGGCGGCACGCAGGGCCCGTCACGGCGCTGCCTCACGGCTCCCGCCCCCAGCCGCTCCCTCAGCTCCCCGCCGCCCCCCAGGCACGGGCACACCGCTCTGTACAGCCGTTTATTGGGGCGCAGCGCGGGCGTTGCTGCATGCGGGGGGCACGGGGCGGGCCCCGGCCGTGGGACCCCGGCCTCACCGCCAGCCGCCACGGTGTGGAAGCGGTGTGGGGCCGCGGTCCCGCCAACCAGGCCGGGAGCCATGCGGGGACACGCGCGAAGCGCAGGCTCCGAGCGGGGCCGGGGGGCAGCGGGGCTGCGGGCGAAGCTGCGGTGATGTGGGGCGGGCCGTGGGGGTCCCGGCCGGGCCGCGGCCCGGCTAGCTGTTGCCCAGCGGGACTGGTGAGCGGCGGCGCTCCGTGCCTGCCAGGCCCACGTGCCGCCGCTCCTCGCTGTGCTCTGAAGTGACAGCGGGGTCAGGTGGGGGTCCTGCTGCCATCTGAGGGAGCAGGGAGCCCCCACACCCCGTACCGCTGCCGTCCTCCGGCTCCTCCTCGTCGCCTTCGCCCCCCTCGGGGTCCTCGGGGTCTTCGGGGATGTCAGACACTGTCAGCGCCTTCAGGTCCTCGCTGCGCTCAGCGATGCCTCCCGCAAAGGACACCTTCTGCCCCCCTGGGGGAAGAGGGAGAGACAGTGGCCAACCATGGGATGGGGCGGCCACCGCGCTGCCTGCAGCCAGGTCGTGGGAATGGCAGCAGTCCTGAATCCTCACAGTGTCCCCATCCCACAATGTCCCCATCCCACAGTGTCCCCATCCCAAGTATCCCCATCCCCACGGTGGCCCCATCCCTGTCTCCAATCCCACAAAGTCTCCATCTCCACAGTGTTGTCGTCCCCACAGGGTTCCCCATTCCTGAGGTGGCCCCATCCATCACCTCGTCCTCAGAGGACTCCCGTCACCACAATGTCTCCAACCTTGCAGTTTTCCTGGCCTGATCCCTGTGGAGGCCCCATCCCAGCAGTATCCCCATCCTCAGAGTCCCCATCCATGCAGTGTTACAAACACCAGAGTGGAACCATCCCTGGCCCATTCCCACTCCAGTCTCCACAGTGTTCCCAACCCCTCTGTTCCCCTCCCTGTGGTGTCCCCATTACCTTTCCTCTTGTGTAGCTTGGTGGCAGGGAAGACGCTCCGCTCGGCTCTGGCCTGGCTCCCCAGGGCTTCTCAGGATGGCAGAGATGAGCCGGGGCAGAGGAGGCATGCCTCCCCCCCCAGAGACAACACAGCCAGGGGAACCAGCTGGCATCAGCATGGCTCCAGGACAAGGCAGGGGACACTGCAGCCCTGTCCCCCCACGGAGGCTGGCAGCACCCAGTCCCATGTCCTGACGTCCCCCAGGCTGCTGCAGCCTTTGTCCCCATGTCACCATCCTTCTTACCAGACTCAAGGGCGCTGTCTGGGTCGCAGCCGCGGGCCAGCTCAGGGTCCCCATCATCAGGCTCTCCATCAGAGCTGTCCCCTCCAGCCAGGCCGCTCTCCAGGTGGGACTGCACGATGCGCTGCACCGCTGTGGGGCACCGGCATCAGCCCCCGCTCTGGCACCAGGAGCACTGGGAAGCACTGGGAAGTACTGGGAGAGGCACAGGGGTGCGGCGTGCCCAGGTCTCCCAGCCCACTGCTCTGCACCCACCCCATATGCCCTCCTTCCCTCAGTTTCCCCATCCAGATAGCAGCAGCTTGGGGGCTCAGCCAGCTCCGGGAGCTGCCCCAAAAAGTCCCCTGGGGAGGACCTGGCCTTTGGGGACAGTACCTTTGAGCGAGGGTGGTGTGTAGGCACACGGGTTTGTCCTCTTTGGTTTCAGCAGGCAGCCCTCGCCGGAGGCTCGCTGCAGGACAGAGCAACCAGACAGCATTGGGGACAGGGACACGGCCACTCCCACATCGGGGACACCCGTGACCCCACAAGGACTAGGTGTCATGATGGGGATCTTACTGTGGGGATCTAGGGATGAGCCCCCCCAGGACTGTGGCACTTTGGTGAAGGTCCCACAATGGGAACTGTGGGATGAGACCCCTGATATTGGGACCCTGTAAGAACACCCTGCGATGGGGACCTGATGTTGAGCCCCCATAGTGAGGACTCTGTAACAGAGACCCCCAGTGTTGCGTCCCTGTGATGGGAACACTGCACTAGAGACCAGGGTGTCAGTGGTGAGGACCTGAGCTCCACGAGGTCCCAGTGTCACAGCCTGACCCCAGTCCCCGTTCTCATGTCCCCGTCCCCGCGGCGCCGTGTGTCCGTCCCCAGGGCCAGGAGAAGGCAGGGAAGCGATAAGCGCTGGGACGGGGCAGGGCGGCAGCACCACGATAACACCGTGGTGACTGTGCTGTGGGGGGAGGCTGTGCCGGGGGGGGG